CTCTATTTAAGTGTACTGACCTACTTTTGATTAATTCATCCAAACTTTGACAAATTCCGTGACATTCCGCGTCATATACAGTAAATTCCATTCATATGACTGGATTCCGCGATTCCGTCCGGTTTTGAAAATGACCGATAATCATAAAAATGCTTAATATCGGCGCTGATAATCGGTTGACCCCTACTATAAATCATTAAAAAGGTCTAAAGTTTTATTATAAAATAGTATTTTATGATAAGAATCTGTGAAAGTAATTTCTTGTCAGGAAGTGTGCATGCTGTGCATATATTTATTTAATTCAAAAGCCTTTATGACTTCATAATCACACAAAGCCAAACTGTGATTGTTTTTTTATTTCGATTAATTGTGGAGCTCTACAGCGGAGTCAGCAAAATCCACTTATTCAAATTTGTATTTTTTTGTTTGCAGATATTTGTTCTTGTTTTAAGCTTAAACCTGCTTCATTTCTCAGAAAACGAGACTTCATATCTTCATGTTACATCTCCAGTGAATGTGTCTTGATTTAAGAATGTTTAGATATTTGTACTGGAAAACCAGACAGAAATACTGAAAAAGAGATTACATTTTTTGCAGTGATGCAACATTTAATGCCACGACTTTATGGATTTAAGACTTTCTGCTCTGATCGAAGAGTTTTTAAGGCTTATTTTGAGGAAGGGTGAATAAAGAGCTGCAGAAGCCCTGGTCTGGACTGACCTGCGACTCTCTCGATGAGGTCCAGCTTGGCTTTCCCGCTCAGATACTGGGCTTTGGAGCAGAAGGGCTGCAGCAGGAGGCTGTTGTCTGAAACACAGAGTCAGAGTCAAACGCACTGAAGATCAGCTCAAATCAGTCAGAGCCAACTCAACGCACCGATGTTGTGCATCAGAGCCTGAACGGCTCCCAGCGCTGCCGTGGAGATGCTGCTGTTCTTGGAGTTGAGGTGATTGTCCACGACGGCGGGGATCAGGATGTTGAGCACTGGAGCCAGACTGTCTCTGAGCAGAGCGATGATGGGCTGAAGAGACTCCAGAGCCCGCAGGCTCACCTTACTGTTGGACTCCTGCAGACGAGCCTTCAGAGCATCAAACACCTGCAGCAGACCATCAGAGTCAGCATCATCGTGCGCCTTCACACTAGAGTTTACGGTACGTTAAATACAGGTGCGCTGCACATCCATTCAGATGAACTGAAAAACAGCACAGATCGCTTGACGGAGAGTGAAACTCTGAAGCGCTCAGTCAGAGAGTGTTCGGCGAGTGAAAATATATCAGAGCTAAACTTATACTTAGCCTCCAACTCACACTGGCGAGTAAAATCTGAGAATTTATTAGCCAGTGGCTAATATTAGACATCATTTAGTCGCCCAGAGTAAGATTTAGTCGCATATGCGAGTGATTTACTCGCAATGCAGAGGGTTGCATCAGCATCATCACAATCACCACCATCATCATCATCATCATCATCATCATCACCACCAGCATCATCAGCATCACCACCATCAGCATCATCACAATCACCATCATCATCATCATCACCATCATCATCATCATCAGCATCATCATCACCACCATCAGCTCATCATCACCACCAGCATCATCAGCATCACCACCATCACAATCACCATCATCAGCATCATCACCACCATCATCATCATCATCACCACCATCACCATCATCATCATCATCACAATCACTATCACCAGCATCATCATCACCACCATCAGCATCATCACAATCACCATCATCAGCATCATCACCACCATCATCATCATCATCACCACCAGCATCATCATCACCACCATTAGCATCATCACAATCACCATCATCATCAGCATCACCAGCATCATCATCACCACCATCAGCTCATCATCACCACCATCACAATCACCATCATCAGCATCATCACCACCATCATCATCATCATCACCACCAGCATCATCATCACCACCATTAGCATCATCACAATCACCATCATCATCAGCATCACCAGCATCATCATCACCACCATCAGCTCATCATCACCACCATCACAATCACCATCATCAGCATCATCACCACCATCATCATCATCATCACCACCAGCATCATCATCACCACCATTAGCATCATCACAATCACCATCATCATCAGCATCACCAGCATCATCATCACCACCATCAGCTCATCATCACCACCATCACAATCACCATCATCAGCATCATCACCACCATCATCATCATCATCACCACCAGCATCATCATCACCACCATTAGCATCATCACAATCACCATCATCATCAGCATCACCAGCATCATCATCACCACCATCAGCTCATCATCACCACCATCACAATCACCATCATCAGCATCATCACCACCATCATCATCATCATCACCACCAGCATCATCATCACCACCATTAGCATCATCACAATCACCATCATCATCAGCATCACCAGCATCATCATCACCACCATCAGCTCATCATCACCACCATCACAATCACCATCATCAGCATCATCACCACCATCATCATCATCATCACCACCAGCATCATCATCACCACCATTAGCATCATCACAATCACCATCATCATCAGCATCACCAGCATCATCATCACCACCATCAGCTCATCATCACCACCATCACAATCACCATCATCAGCATCATCACCACCATCATCATCATCATCACCACCAGCATCATCATCACCACCATTAGCATCATCACAATCACCATCATCATCAGCATCACCAGCATCATCATCACCACCATCAGCTCATCATCACCACCATCACAATCACCATCATCAGCATCATCACCACCATCATCATCATCATCACCACCAGCATCATCATCACCACCATTAGCATCATCACAATCACCATCATCATCAGCATCACCAGCATCATCATCACCACCATCAGCTCATCATCACCACCATCACAATCACCATCATCAGCATCATCACCACCATCATCATCATCATCACCACCAGCATCATCATCACCACCATTAGCATCATCACAATCACCATCATCATCAGCATCACCAGCATCATCATCACCACCATCAGCTCATCATCACCACCATCACAATCACCATCATCAGCATCATCACCACCATCATCATCATCATCACCACCAGCATCATCATCACCACCATTAGCATCATCACAATCACCATCATCATCAGCATCACCAGCATCATCATCACCACCATCAGCTCATCATCACCACCATCACAATCACCATCATCAGCATCATCACCACCATCATCATCATCATCACCACCAGCATCATCATCACCACCATTAGCATCATCACAATCACCATCATCATCAGCATCACCAGCATCATCATCACCACCATCAGCTCATCATCACCACCATCACAATCACCATCATCAGCATCATCACCACCATCATCATCATCATCACCACCAGCATCATCATCACCACCATTAGCATCATCACAATCACCATCATCATCAGCATCACCAGCATCATCATCACCACCATCAGCTCATCATCACCACCATCACAATCACCATCATCAGCATCATCACCACCATCATCATCATCATCACCACCAGCATCATCATCACCACCATTAGCATCATCACAATCACCATCATCATCAGCATCACCAGCATCATCATCACCACCATCAGCTCATCATCACCACCATCACAATCACCATCATCAGCATCATCACCACCATCATCATCATCATCACCACCAGCATCATCATCACCACCATTAGCATCATCACAATCACCATCATCATCAGCATCACCAGCATCATCATCACCACCATCAGCTCATCATCACCACCATCACAATCACCATCATCAGCATCATCACCACCATCATCATCATCATCACCACCAGCATCATCATCACCACCATTAGCATCATCACAATCACCATCATCATCAGCATCACCAGCATCATCATCACCACCATCAGCTCATCATCACCACCATCACAATCACCATCATCAGCATCATCACCACCATCATCATCATCATCACCACCAGCATCATCATCACCACCATTAGCATCATCACAATCACCATCATCATCAGCATCACCAGCATCATCATCACCACCATCAGCTCATCATCACCACCATCACAATCACCATCATCAGCATCATCACCACCATCATCATCATCATCACCACCAGCATCATCATCACCACCATTAGCATCATCACAATCACCATCATCATCATCACCACCATCAGCTCATCATCACCACCAGCATCATCAGCATCACCACCATACATTCTATTACATGGCATTAAATAGTTATAATATAATAATATTTATATTTTATTTAATTTGAAATATATTTTAAGTATTATTATTATTAAGTAAATAATGCAAAAAAATGTATGTGATGCACCATTGGCAGGTGTGGCAAAAAGTACATTTTGGACCTGGTTATAGGCCAACACAGATAATCTCAAAATGGCCAATAATGAACGACAAGTTAATCACCCTGACCGATATATCGGTCTATCACTACTTCAACAGAAAGACAAGACCTCATGAGTTCACACATGAAAACACACTTGCAAAACACAAGCTGTCATCCCTCCATGAACCAGCCGAGAGACGATGACATCAGTGTAAACAATCACAGCGCATCATCATCACCACCACCATCATCATCATCATCACAATCGCCATCATCACCACCATCAGCGTCATCACAATCACCACCACCATCAGCATCATCACAATCACCACCACCATCATCATCACCACCATCAGCACCATCAGCATCATCACAATCACCATCATCAGCATCATCATCATCATCATCATCACAATCACTATCACCAGCATCATCACCACCACCATCAGCATCATCATCATCACAATCACCATCATCATCAGCATCACCAGCATCATCATCATCACAATCACCATCATCACCATCACCAGCATCATCACTACCACCATCAGCATCATCACAATCATCACCACCATCACCATAATCAGCATCACCACCACCATCATCATCATCACCACCACCATCATCATCATCATCACCACCATCAGCATCATCACAATCACCACCATCAGCATCACCATCAGCATCATCACAATCACCATCACCATCACTACCACCATCAGCATCATCACAATCACCACCATCATCAGCATCACCACCATCACATCATCACAATCACCATAATCAGCATCATCACCACCACCATCATCATCACCACCACCATCACCAGCATCATCATCACCACCACCATCATCATCATCATCACAATCGCCATCATCACCACCATCAGCGTCATCACAATCACCACCACCATCAGCATCATCACGATCACCACCACCATCATCATCATCACAATCACCATCATCAGCATCACCAGCATCATCATCATCACAATCACCATCATCAGCATCATCACAATCACCATCATCAGCATCACCATCATCACAATCACCATCATCAGCATCATCATCACCATCACCAGCATCATCACTACCACCATCAGCATCATCACAATCACCATCATCATCAGCATCATCATCACCACCATCACCATAATCACAATCACCATCACCATCACCATCATCATCACCATCATCACCACCATCAGCATCATCAGCATCACCACCACCACCATTACAATCATCACAACCACCATCACTCATCATCACCACCATCAGCATCATCAGCATCATCACAATCACCATCATCAGCATCACCATCATCACAATCACCATCATCAGCATCACCAGCATCATCATCATCACAATCACCATCATCAGCATCATCACAATCACCATCATCAGCATCAGCATCATCACAATCACCATCATCAGCATCACCATCATCACAATCACCATCATCAGCATCATCATCACCATCACCAGCATCATCACTACCACCATCAGCATCATCACAATCACCACCATCATCAGCATCACCCCCACCACATCATCACAATCACCATAATCAGCATCATCACCACCACCATCATCATCACCACCACCATCACCAGCATCATCATCACAACCATCATCATCATCACAATCAGCATCATCACAATCACCACCACCATCAGCATCATCACAATCACCACCACCATCATCATCACCACCATCAGCATCATCAGCATCATCACAATCACCATCACCAGCATCATCACAATCACCACCATCAGCATCATCACAATCACCATCAGCATCATCACAATCAGCAGCATCATCATCACCAGCATCATCACTACCACCATCAGCATCATCAGCATCACCACCATCATCAGCATCACCACCATCACATCATCACAATCACCATAATCAGCATCACCACCACCATCATCACCACCACCATCACCAGCATCATCATCACCACCATCATCATCATCATCACAATCAGCATCATCACAATCACCATCATCACCACCATCAGCATCATCACAATCACCACCACCATCAGCATCATCACAATCACCATCATCAGCATCAGCATCACCATCACCAGCATCATCACTACCACCATCAGCATCATCACAATCACCACCATCACCATCATCACAATCACCATAATCATCATCATCACCACCAGCATCATCATCACCACCATCATCATCATCATCATCATCAGCAGGATGACCAGGATTACCGGGAACAGGCTGCCGATGACCAGAGCCGGGTTCTCCTCGCAGTCGCACACCAGCTGATCGATGGCCTTGATTCTCTCCCTGAAGTCCTTGGAGTTGAGCAGTGTCTTCATCTGTTTGACGTACTCGCTCCGGTCTGCGAGGCTGTGGAAGGCCGCTTTACTCCCCGCCTGACCGCAGTCCCTGCCGAACACACGGCTGATGAGCGAACGGGAAGCATCACATGAGCAGATGTGTGGCTGGCGTGTCATACCTGCTGCCGCTCAGAGGATCACGCGTGAGGGACGAGGTGCGCATCACCCCACTGCCTGAGAGAGAGCGCCTGCCCCGCGCCGACGGAGCGTCCTGAGGCATCTCCCCCAAGCCCTGACACACACACACGTTTGTTTTTGTAAATTGTGGGGACATTACATAGGCGTAAACGCGCACACACAAACACACACACACACACACACACACACACACACGAGGTTAACACTCACTGACACATTCACTGCCTATCTGATGTGTGTTGACACATAAACTGAACAAACAGCATAAATCGCCCGATTTCACTTCATTTTGAGAGACAGATGCAAACTCATTTTTTTCTCAGAAGCACTGTCATACAGACAGTGCTTCTGAGGAGTTTTGTGAGCTTCTTAATAGCAAATAAACTAGATAACCACAAGCATAACTGTGGACTCAGAAAAATTAAAAATTAAATTTGAATAATTTCAAATTATAATAATTTAAAATATAATTTAAAAATGACTAATGCAATGCATAAAAACAGTGTAAAAACATGATGTATTATATAATATTAATATAAATAATTAGATCATTATTATATGCTGATTTGCTGCTCAAGAAACATTTCTGATTATTATCAATGCTGAAAACAGTTGTGCTGCACAATATTTTTGTGAAAACTGTGATACACTTCCATTCAAAAGTTTAAAATAAGATGAATAAAAAATAAATTAATACTTTTATTCATCAAGGCCACATTAAATTGTTTAAAAGTGACAGTAAAGTCATTTATAATGTTACAAAAGATTTCTATTTCAAATAAATGCTGTTCTTTTGAACTTTCGGTTCATCTGTGAATCCTGAAAAATAAAATGTATCAGTTTCCACAAAAATATTGTGCAGCACGACTGTTTTCAACATTGATAATAATCAGAAATGTTTCTTGAGCAGCAAATCAGCATATTAGAATGATTTCTGAAGATCATGTGACACTGAAGACTGGAGTAATGATGCTGAAAATGCAGCTTTGATCACAGAAATACATTACAGTTTAACAGATATTCACATAGAAACAGCTATTTGAAATTGTAAAAATATTTCACATTTTTACTGTATTTTTGATTCACTGGTGAACAGAAGACTTCTTTCAAAATAATTTTTAAAAATCCTACTGACCCCAAACTTTTGAGCAGTGGTGTACATTTAAAGGGAAACGGCTAGCTGTGTTTGTAAGGGGTTTGTGCACACCTTGGTTTTGAGAGTGAAGACGGCGTCTCTGATGGTCGGCAGGTCTTTAGCAGAGATGAACTTCTCCATCATTTTATCAAAGTCACGGTGAGAGGACAAAAACAGCAGCATGCGTCGACCAAAGTACCTGAGAGACACAGCAATGAAGGCATGAAGCACTGAGGCGAGAGTGTGTCAGGCTGCGTGACCTCTGACCCCTGCGCCGCTCACCTGGCCTCCTGAGACGAGTCCTGCACCAGCTTACAGACGGCTGGTAGGATGCGGTCGGTCAGATCTTTAGCTCCAGACAGCAGACGAGCGGCTCCGACCCGCTCCACCAGACCGCTGAGATGCAGAGCCGCACACTTACGCACTACTGAGTTCAGATGACTGTGAACGAAACACATTACAGAATAACATCTCTAACCCTCTATATCAAACTAGTCAGAAAAATACAAATATCTGTAATGGAACAATCAAAGTGTGCATATGTGTTTTCGTTGAGTATCATATTTGCGCCATCAAGCATTTATGGCTCATCTGTGACTCTGCAGCACAAAAGCAGGTTTAAGTCGCTGGGGTATATTTGTAGCAATAGCCAGCAATACATTGTATGGGTCACAATTATAGATTTTTCTTTTATGCCAAAAATCATTAGGATATTAAGTAAAGATCATGTTCCATGAATATATTTTGTAAATTTCCTACCATAAATATATCAAAACTTAATTTTTGATTAGTAATATGCATTGCTAAGAACTTCATTTGGACAACTTTAAAGATGATTTTCTCAATATTTAGATTTTTTTGCTCCCTCAGATTCCAGATTTTCAAATAGTTGTATCTCGGCCAAATATTGTCTTATCCTAACAAACCATACATCAATGGAAAGCTTATTTATTCAGCTTTCAGATGATGTATAAATCTCAATTTCGAAAAATTGACCCTTATGACTGGTTTTGTGGTCCAGGGTCACATATAGTCTGATATAGTGAGAATATGGAGGAAAAAACATGAATCTGCTGCAGAAGCTGATATTTATATGATGAAATTCTGATGCTTGTGATGTAAATCAATGAGAGCTTTCTAACAGTGCAGCAGATGCTGACATAAAATGATCTAAATATCAGTCATCGCTCTATATCTGCAGTAATCTGTCTCAGTAAGATGAGATTGAAATGCTCCAAACATATAATGCAGTGATTGAGAGCTGAAGAAATAAAGGCTCCTCAGAAGATGTGAGATGTTCTGGAGGCTTGTGA